GTGTTGGGTGTTTTAACGTACGTAGAACCATGTTTCACATCTGCCAGCTTCCAGCCGGTGGCAGATGGCGTGGATGGAGGTGACTTCCGGGGTGCATGGGTGCCCATTCTGGTCCTCCCTTCTCTCACTTAGTGCCTCCACTAGGATTCCTTCCTATTTTTTCATGCTACTTTATGACTTTCCAGGCTGGCTTACCCCTCAAGTGCTTGTGCGTGATACTTCTGGTGCTAATGTTTTCTGCCTTCCCCAAAGTTAGACTGCACTACGCCATTCAATTAAAATATTCCAAGGAAGGTACTGATGGCTAATAGATGGTCCCCCGTCCCCACACACTACTGGGTTCCCTTGAAATACTTTTGTGTGCATAAATTGTAATTATATCCTGCTGTTTTTCAGTTAACATTGCCGTTACAGGATTTTTTCCACTTTGCTACATGATCTTATTATTTTTAATAATTGCATAATAGTTCATTGAGCGGATGTACCTTGCTTTTCCAAACCATCCCATATTATTAGGCGTTAGATTATTTCCATGGTTTCCCCTATTATAAGTTACCCTGCAATGGATGTCTTCCCTTGTGGAGCCTGTCCCTTCCTTTGAATTCTTTCCTTATAAATACATTTCCAGAAGTGAGATTACAGAGCTAAGTAGGGTATAAAGTTCTTGATGGGCTTTGCTAACTGCCTTCTAAGGCGTGTACCAGAACATAGCCCTGCTGCCCATGGATGAGGGGACTGGGGTTATCACGGTCTCATCGTATATCATCACTATGATCTCATTATGTATCATTACATAAACACCTTTATTTTTTATTAAGGTATGACTGATAAACAAAAAAACTGTAGCAGTATTTCATGTTTAAATTATGTATCCCCAATTACAAATAAGGTTCTTAAAAGTGTTGGCATAAGCACTTGTTCCATCTTTTCCTCAGAAAGTCAGATGTTGCTTTTGATTTCACATGAGCTGATGTGAGTCACTCATGTAATTTGGGGTTTGCCTGCCCTTTGGCGCAGGAGTCTTGGTCTGCCGTATAGCTTAACATTTTTGACTGAACAAAGAAGACAAAGAAGGTAGTTGAGTTTAGCTTTTGGAGTTATTGCTCAAGGGTTAAGAAGAATGTTCAGGGTACTAGGGTTTCTTCAATGTAGTTTATTTGAAGAAGGCCCATGAACCTTTTGAAGGGCTAAGGAAGCACCTGGGTTTTTGTTTTGTTTTGAAGAGTTGTCAAACAATTAGAAGGTCATTGCTGAGGTAGATGGTTTTCACTTAGCTCTGAATGAGTTCCACTTCTCCCACTAAACGATGGGTGGTAACTCACCTGGTGAAGGGCAGACTTGGGGAGATTAAATTAGGTCTATGCTCCTTAATAAGAATAATAAAATGCTAATAGTGGTGTATACTTGTATCATCCTTCCTGTTGTCAGATACTGTTGGAAATGCTTTATGTATGTTAATGAATTTTTTTTTAAAGATTTTATTTATTTATTTGACAGAGAGACACAGCGAGAGCAGGAACACAAGCAGGGGGAGTGGGAGAGGGAGAAGCAGGCTTCCCGCGGAGCAAGGAGCCCGATGCGGGGCTCGATCCCAGGACCCTGGGATCATGACCTGAGCCGAAGGCAGCCGCTTAACCGACTGAGCCACCCAGGCGCCCTGTATGTTAATGAATTTTAGGGGCGCCTGGGTGGCTCAGTCGGTTAAGCGTCGGCTCTGGATTTCGGCTTAGGTCGTGGTCTTGGGGTCCTGGGATCAAGCCTTGCTTTGGGCTCTGTGCTCAGTGCGGAGTCAGCTTGTCATTCTCCCCCTGCCCCTCCTCCTGTTTGTTCTCTTCCTCTGTCTCCCTAAAATAAATAAAATCTTTAAAAAAAATTTGCATTTTTCTAGGTGAGGAACCTGAGGCATAGAGAGTTTTCAGTCTGGCCTTCTGGTTTGCCTCTCGCACGCTGTCTCCTTGCTGCCTTTGCTTGTCCTGGTTCAGAAGGCCTCTGGTATGTCCTACATGCCTCTCCCATGCTGAAACCCCTGCCCTCACCACTGTCTTGACCATGGCAAAGCGTCATGCTGATGCTTTTACGATCACTGAATCACCAAACCCTACCTGACGGGTGACGTGAAGGCCAGTTTACCCAGGAGGAGGCTTGCAGAGGTGCCCTTACTCAGTAGGTGGCTGAACCAGGGCAGTGCTTGGAAGTCTGCTTGCGGCCCATCCCCAGGAATCCTTCCCCTCTTGATTCCTTTTTGACCTATTTCTCCACCTCCGTATCTCGACCACTCATTTTATCGTTAATGATAGGCAGCTGTTCATTGTTACTTTCACGTGTGTGTGTGGCCTAGGAGCTCATCCAGGGAGCGACTGTCTCTTTGGGGCTCATGGTCACGGTGCCTGGCTCTCAGAAGCACCTTGCTAATGTTTCCTGTTGCTGACTTGAGGTGGTGACTGACCCCTCTGCTCTCTCAGCATGTCTGGCCAGGTGAGGTGGGCTGCTTCCTGGGCCAATTCAGGTACCCTTTTTCTTTCAGAAAATTAACGCTTGCTGTGGTGAAGTCAGCTTTAGTTGGATAAATGCACATGTGCTTTTTCTGGGAATAGGTAGATCAATATGAGATTGGATGTGACATAAATCATTTATAATTGCACTCACTCTTTTTTATTAGTTGTATGGTAGCTCCTTTCTCAAATGAGTCCTTTTGTAATTGAATATCACCCTTTTGTTTATTTCTTTGGGGGATAGATCTGGGTCTATGTTGGGTTTGCTCACAGTGGAGTTTCTGGAGTTAATGGCTTGTTAATTACCATATTTCTGGGTAACCAAATCATCACTTTGGTGTGTTTGACAGGATTATTTCAGCCATTTCAAAATCTGTTTTTAAGTTTTAGGCATCTCAGTGACTTCATGAAATTTGCTTTTTTATGCACCCAGAGCCCTCAGTTTAAGTCTCGTGTTAATTTAAAAAGAACTTGGAGTGTGGTGGTACTGTTGTGGCTGGATTTTTATATACCCTCATTTTCACCAGGAAAGAGAAGGATTGGTTACCTGAGAGGGGCTAGATTGGGAAGTTGGGATGGACATTCCCCAAATGGATAGGAATTCCCACAGCCAGACCTTCTAGAGCCCTCCTTCCCAGCCTCATGCAGTTACCTTGAGGATGAGAGAGAAAAGCAGATGTTTTGTTCCAGAGAGAGCCAGGACCACGTTGATTCCAGGCCCCTGTGTGGAGTTAAGGGGTGCCTTCCGTTCAGTTCAGGCTGTGTCTGGTGCCCCATGTTTCTCTGAAGTAGATGTCACATCAGCTCAGACAGACAAAGGGATGTTTTTGAAAAGCACAAAATATTCTACTTGTGTCAAAAAGCAAATAGCCAGTAATTTACGGGATGAAACCCTGAAACCTAGGAAGAAATAAGAGACCGTGAGCTTTTTAGAAGGAAAAAACCATGATTTAAGTATGGAATCATGGCTAGATTTTTTTTAACTTTTAATTATTTTTAAAAAGCTTTTGTTTGTCAGAGAGGGAGAGAGAGAGCACAAGCAGGGGGAGCGGCAGGCAGAGGGAGAAGCAGACACGCCGCTGAGCAGAGAGCCTGATGCGCGGGGCTCAATCCCAGGCTACTGAGATGGTGACCTGAGCCAAAGGCAGACGCTTCACTGGCTGAGCCACCCAGGCGTCCCTAGATCCTTTAACTTCTTAAACCAAGCACAACATACATATAAATCCTGAGGGAAACACCCTTGCGTTTCCTGTACCTGGCAGTCAGCACTGCGTGTCGCTGGAGAGAACAGTGGAATGTTCTGCAGGTCGAAGTTGTGGCTGATGCACATGTACTGGTGGAGTTCTGACACCAGAGGTGGCATGTTCCTGAACTCAGATTGGTAAAGGATGCTCCAGGAAGACGTGTTATTTTTGACACGTTGGAGCTTCTTCAACCTCCGGGGGCACTGTGTGTGGACGGCCACTGTCTCTCTGGGTGTTGTGCACGTCACTGACCCCTGTCCTCAGAGGCATACCGAGCAGCCTGGGCATCATACTGGTCATGGCTAGATTTTTTTTTTTTTTTTAAGTCAAAGGCAACTGTTTTCTCAAACTGTAGTCTAAACATGATTTTAGTTATTTTGGTTTGATTCTACTAAGTTATATCATATTTTCTATTTGACCTTTCTCATTTGGATGGAAGGAATGAATGAAATAAGAGAACAGTGATCTTTTGCTTCAACAAATATTGCCACAACCATGACAGATACTGGATGTTAGCATTTTCTTTATAATGTGGCCTGCTTTCAAAATGGCCTGTTCTCCTTGCAAAGAATTAAAGGTAAATGCGGTAGATACTAAAACCTGTGTACGAAGTCAGTGCTCAAAAATTTCATTTTTTTTAAAGATTTATTTATTTATGTATTTGAGAGAGAGAGGGAGAGAATGAGAGAGAGCATGAGAGGGAAGAGGGTCAGAGGGAGAAGCAGACTCCCTGCTGAGCAGGGAGCCCGATGTGGGACTCGATCCCGGGACTCCAGGATCATGACCTGAGCCAAAGGCAGTCGCTTAACCAACTGAGCCACCCAGGCGCCCTCAAAAATTTCATTTATTAGTTCTTGCTGAGCTGTGTAGCTTTCCATTTTAGACTTTGGCATAAGTGCTCAGGTTGTGGCTCCACTGTGTGTGTGTGTGTGTGTGTGTGTGTGGCGCTCTGTTTTCTCTGGAAATGATTGGATCAGTGTGGGCATCATGAGACCCGTTTCCCTAGGTGGTGTGGTTTGTTTCGCTGTCAGAGAGCTGAGAGTTCTGCTGCCGTTTTTACAAATCGGCCTCCCGCGGTTGCCCTTTCCTACCTTGGTCCAGCCTTGAGCTCTCCAGGGTGAGGCCGGTGGCGCCTCACAGCCGGCCTCGCTGCCCATCTCCTTTGTCTCCGGGTGTTTTCCTTGCAGGAGAGTGCCGCCTGACAAATTTATCGATAACTGTCTCTCCCCTTCTCTTTTCCCTCTCTGTCCCTCTCTTCCGCCAGGCGGGCGCCTCAGTGATGTCTGGCGCGGGAGAGAGCACTAATCCCGAGAACAGCGAGCTCAAGTACTCAGGTCAAGATGGGTTGTACATAGGCGTCAGCCTGGCCTCGCCAGCCGAAGTCACATCCTCGGTGAGACAGGATTCCTGGTGCGCCCTTGCCCTGGCCTGAGCCTGCTGCCAGGGAGCAGGAGGGCGCACGGCCTGTGGGGATTTTGTCAAGCCGGCCACACCAGGGCGAGTATGCTGACAGAACATTCCTCTGATGCGTGATTTCCGTGCCTTTATTTTGAAAGAGATGTATTTCCCCGAGAGGCCTGCTCTGCCTTCACCCTGCCCCTATCTCTGAAGAGCGGGAGAGGAGATGGAGAGCTTCCAGGGAAGGGCCGCTGCAGCCCACAGCATGTCGCCTCCTCCCCGGCCACGGCCCCTTCCAGCCACCAGCCAGCCAGCCTGCCTCTGGGCCCGCCAGGGGATCTGATGTCCGCCGTGCCACTTCCAGAAAGCGGGACTAGGACCGGGGCCTTGCCTGCTAAGGAATATTGAGAGAGATTAAAAAAAAAAAAAGTTTTATGTGTATTGCCCCAAATCATGTGCTTCTTCTGATCGGTTTTGGTTGTTCCAGAATTTCTTTGTACCTTTTCCACACCTGAATTTCACCTGCTTTCATGGAGAAGACCATTTGGTACACACCTCTGGAGGCTGAGTCAGGACTGTGACTCAGTTTGCAAGACTGCATTATGACTGTAACGTACACTGTGACTGACGTTTCTCAAAGTGCATATTGTGTGACTGATCTGAAGTCAGTCGGGATTTGTAAACAGGGTAGCAAACAAGATGTTTTTCTTCCATGTAAACAATAATTTTTTTAAAAAGTGCAATTTGCGTTGCAGCAATCAGTGTTAAATCATTTGCATAAGATTTAACAACATTTTTTATAATGAATGTAAACATTTTAACTTAATGGTACTTAAATAATTTAAAAGAAAAAAATGTTAACTTAGACATTCTTATACTTCTTTTACAACCACATCCCATTTCTATATTTCCAATTGTGAAAGAAAAATACTTCAAGAACAAATCTTCTCTCAGGAAAATTGCCTTTATCCATCTGTTAAGAATTTTTATACAAGAACACCAGTATCCCCTCTTTATTTTACTGTGGAATGTGTGCTGGAAAAATTGCAACAAAACTTTACTACCTAACAGATAACATTTGTAAATACTGTAGGCATCTGTACACACTACGATGAAGTCTATAGTGTGACTAACCCACAGGCAGGTTGGTTTACATTAATTTTTTTTTTTAATGGGATGTCTTATGGAAACCTATTTTTGCCAAAGTTTTAAAAATAAAAAGGGTATTGTTTTGTCTTCTGTACAGTGAGTTCCTTCCCTTTTAGTTTCATTTGGATACTGTATGTGGCTGGAGATGTTCATATAAAACAAGTGCATGTGATGTTTGCAAATTGCCTTTTGGCTTTCCTTTCAACGAATTGTTCTTTTGGAGCTGCTTTGTACCTTGGTTTATTTGAAGTTGGCACATGGAGTTAACACCTTCAGTTTGCATTGGGGACACTTTTTATAAGTGAAAAGGACCTAGTATTCTGTGACAATATCTGAGATTATAAGCATTCTGTGTAGGGCTAGTCCTTGAAAACATTTAGAGTCCAGAGTTCCTTTCCCTCTGAATGAAATACACTCCCAGCAACAGAACAGTTTTACTTTCTAATTCCTCCTTTGCAAAGTGCCACCAAGTCTCCCAGCTCATCTGAGGTTGAAGTCCTTTAACACTCACCAGAAGGTAGGAAATGATCTGAACGGTCTCTGTGGATTTCAGAAAACCAGGAGACTGTTTCACGACACAACGGTGGCATTTCATTTTGGCTCCCGAAGTGTGGGACATTTTTTTGCTGCTTTGATTATCATTCTATGGGGGCCAGTCTGAGTCTCCCAAGAGAGGGGAGATCTTGCTTTGTGGTGGGTAGTATTGCAAGTGAGACTCAGAGCTGGGGGGTATATGTGTCTGGAGAAGCCACTGAGTCCCACATGTACCCGGATACCATTAAGGTGGGCTAGAACCGTGGTCTGGGTGTGGACTCAGACTGCTAGGCTTTGGGTCCCTGCTCAGCATGCACGAGCTCTGTGACCTTGGGCAAGTGTGTTGACTTCGAGGTAAGGTGGCAGGAGCTTTTACCACATGGGTGTTCTGAATGCCTTACTCCCTGTGGGGTATTTAGAAGTTTATGGTCTGTGAGGTTCTGGTGTCCCTTGACTCACTTGCACTTTGTGAACAAGGCTGGGGTGAGTGAAATGAGGGATTCTCCTAGCCCAGGGGGTGGCCGAGTTGGGGGGAGGGAGCGCACGAGAGAAACCAGTCTGAGTTCGGCTATTTTAAAAGAAAAGGGTTAGTCTGACAGCAGAAGAAAATTGTTAACCCAATTTTTCCCCCTCCTTCCTCTTCAGTTCTCATTACTTTGAGTGCTTTCTGGTTGGGAGTTTGTTAGAGTTAATACGATTTGGTTGGAAAATGAATTTTTCTAATTGGGGCTTCCGAATAATCTCTTTCTGGGGATGGTCTCGGATGTTGCTCCTTCCAAACCCAAGTCACCACTGAGTTGCTAAAGCTTTTTTTTTTTTTTTTAAGAACACAAAAGGGAAGGAATTCAAGCTTCCATAAAATAAAGTACAAGGGGCAAGAATGCGGGGAACGGGGCTTCTTGTAATCTAGCCTGTCCTAACACCATGAGCTCTCCTAAACTAGGCCTTTCAATGCTAACCTCACCTGTGGTTGTATAAAGAAGTTTGATAATTTGTTGCAAATACATGATCTCAGCACTGCTCCCCCGAAGTGTGACCCACAAAAAACAAGCCATATCTCAAAAGAGGGAGTGCATTTAAGTAGATGGGTCATCTCAGCTTCAAGAGTCCTCAGACCCATTACCGCGGGTTGCAGAATTTGTCTGTCACCCATGGCTGATTTTAGGCCACCTTACATAATTGAAGGCTCTGTCTGGGGTCTCTCTCCGGGGTCACTTTATGTTGTTGCCTGGTGCCTATGGGAGGGTCAGGAAAGCAAAGGGAGCCACTCATTTCCCCCTGCAGATGAATTAACTTCTTGCTCATGGGAAATGTTTTCCTCAGTCCTTGGAATAATTTCAGATCATAGATTCGCTGCTGGGAGGGCAATACAGCAAGTCTTTGGTGGCTATGCCAGATTTCAGGCTGCTTTTAATTTGGGGCAGTGTGGTAGCTTGGTGCGTTCAATTCTACGTACTGGCATTTTCCACGGGGTCTAAAGATCCTATAACTCTGAGGAGGAAATAATTTTATAGGCAAGGCCAGGTGGGGGAGCAGGATCAAACATTCAGGGTAAGGCAGCTCTTGCTAATTAAAATGCGTTTTGTTTCTGGGTTGAAATACCAAGTCAGCTTGGCACCTGTTGTTTGGAAGCTCTAATGGGCAGTCAGGTATGAATTTGATAATATTTTAAATGAGAAACATCAATACATTTGCTAGACCAAATCTTTCAAAACAGGGTCTGTGGTAAAAATTCGGTACCTATAGCTCTGGCTCCTTGAGGCATTCTCTTCTGTGGCTGAACCGTTAGCTGCAACGAAAGCAGACCCCTCGGCTGTGGTCCCTGGAGGTGGGTGGGGGCTGGGGGGTCCGGGACAAGGTGGTAGCCTGCTGTAGGACCTGCAAAGGGAAAGAATCCTATGGTGTCTGTGACTGATTCAAATGTTAAATACTAGGAGGCTGAAAGCCTAAGTAAGTTCACAGGGGCTCTGGATAAAATAAATTACGGTTGATACTTAACGCACAGCTTCTAAAGGAAAGTTAGGATGTGGCAGGTACACGTCGAACCCCTGAGTTAGACATTCGAGCAAGCGACCACACTCCCGCCTAGTACTCCGGCATCTCCCAAATCTGCACCCGAGAACTGGTGGGTCGGCTGGTCTGAGCTGTGCTTTCCCACTCGGGAGCCGGCCCAGGGAGGTGACTGCTCACACAGTTGTAGTTAAAGAGATACTTTGCTCAGAAGCTCTTTTTTTTTTTTTTTTTTTTTTGTGCTTGTTTTTAAAGAATGGGCATTTAAAAAATGGCTTAAATATAGCAGTTAGAGATGAAATAATGTTTTAATTAGTGGAAGGGCTTATATTTCAGTCATCGGCGGTTCCCTGTGGTAGGATGATAATCTCGATATCCCTTCACTTTGGGGCAAGTCATTTCCTCTCTCTGGACCTCCGTCTCCGAAGCAGCCATAAAATGCAGAAAATCAGGCAGTGTGGCTGCTCAGAGGTCCCTCCCATCTGCATTTGCTGCCCACGGGCCCAGGTGCAGATTCAAGGCAGAGGCAATGGTGTGTCTGTGGGAAGCTGGTGGAGTTCGACTTCCCTTCTAGCCCTCTTCTGGTACCCTTACCAGCTCATCCTGCTGCCTTAGGCCACAGAGGGTGAGAATCCTGGTCATATTCATGAACACAGGGCTTTGTAAGAGGTGCTGCCCCACCCCCTCATGCCAAACCTGCTTGGTCTGGGGCCCCTGATACAAAACTTATACAGCGATACGGACCCAGACCGGAAAATGGAAACGTCTGGCAGCTGAGCCGTCCGCAGAACAAGGAAAAAACAGCTTTGCTTTGCTTGGCCCATTGCTTCAATATCTTGTAGTTGGTTTTTTATTTCTTGGAAACAATCGACTTTTCATTGTTTGCCTTCTGTGTCTTCTCTTTAGCCATCGAGTTTTCCTCCGTCTCTCTACCCCTTCCCCGGGTTTTACCTCTGTTTTTGTGAATTCTCTTCCTTTAACACTGGTCTGAAATAGCAAATATTTATCTAGCACTGACTACGTGCCGGTTTCTATACAAAGTGTTGCACATATGTCGATTTATGTCATGAATGAAGTGGTGCTATCCCCATTTTACAGATGTGTCTGCAGAGGCACAGAGAAGTAACTTGCCCAAGGTTACAGAGTGGCACAGCTAGGATTTGAGCCCGGGCAGTCCGGCTCCAAAGCACATGCTCTTAATCTCTCCATCATACTGTCTTTTCATCTCGATTTAAAGGGGAAGAAATTGGAGAATGCAGAAGGGAAGCCGGAGTTGCCTGAGACTTGAGGCTAGGTCCTTCCTCTCTCCCCCAGCATCTCAGAAATACGTAATTGTGATTTGCAATATAGGTATGCCTTTTTAAGACACCTAGTTAAATGTATGTGTTTCTTCCAACGACAGGTTTCTTTAGAACCCACAGAAGGTAGGGTGTAGTTGTTAGCCGGAAAGGAAGGGCAGGAGTTTGCAGGTATTGTGCTGTGTTTGAGCAATTTACTTGTCGTCTTTTCATGGAACTCCAAGTAAGGCTTGTTATGCCCTTACCTGGCACAAAAGATGAGGCTAAAGCATTTTGCAAAGTGTAAAAAGCTGGTAAAATTATTAGTAGTGGTTAAAACTGAACACGAGAGAACAAGGAATGCTTCATTGTGGTGTCAAATCTTTCTATGCTTGGTTGTGCCAAGGAATTTTTTTCAGAAAAACTTGTGCAAGATGTTGGCAGTGGTGTCTTAGGCTTTATCTTTTTAAATAAGTGTTCATTAGTGCTTACATCATTGTTGCTATTATTACTTTGATAAGTGTACATTACTAATGATGCTCTCTGTCAGGGTTCTCAGACTTCTATTTGCATGAGAATCATGCATAGTGTTTGTTAAAATTGCACAGCCCCTGACTCCTTCCCCAAAGAATCTGATTCTGCAGGTCCCATGTAAGGCTGAAGAATGTGCATTTTTTGGCCTTGCATTAATTAAAATTTCTTGACTAGCACAAAATTCAAAAGTTATAAATTGGAATACAGTGAAAAACAATTGCCCTTCTTACCCCTATTCCCCAGCCACTCTGTTCTTCTCCCAGATGTAATTTCTTATTTCTTGTATTGATTATACACATTGACTATCGGTTCATACACAAGCATATACAAGTATATATACTTTTTTTTTTACACATCTGGTAGCATACTATACACATTGCATTTTGCTTTTTTCACTTAGTATGTCTGGGTAGTTCATTATTTAATAAGTGCCTTACTGAAGAACATTTGTTTCCCATCTTCTGCTATTTGAGCAATGCTGCAATTATTATCCCATATCTGTGTCATTTCACTCATATGCAAATATACCTATGAGGTGATTTTCTAGAATTGGCATTACTGACTCAAGGGGTATCTCTACTATTAATTTTGATAGCTTTGCCAAATTGGTCTTACAGAGGTTGGTTCAGTTTGCACTCCCACAGGCAATGTACAAGAGTGCATGTTTTCCCTTAGCCAAACATGTTTGTTACCAAACATTCTGATTTTTGTCATTTTCGCATCTCTGAGTTTTGTTTTCATTTATCTTATTGCGAATGAGGTTGAACATTTTTTCCAAT